CATCTGCTAACTACAGCTAGAATAGCATTTGCCCAATGCTGGAAACAAAATAATATCCCCTCGGATGAATTAGTGATAAAAAACAAAAAGTCTTTGGATGGTGCAGAGATGGACAAATTAACACTGAAATTCAAAGAAAAAGGAGAGTCGGAGTATTATAAAATTTGGAACAATTGGTACAAATGGCTGCAAAACAAGAATAAAATTAATTAAGCTGAAAAACAATATATATAAATATATATAGAACTGTGTATAAAGGTGTGTAAATATAGAAGCAAAATATTATATACATGTACAGGTAGGATGACATAACAATGTTGATATAATGACTGTAAGGTGTTGTAGAAGGGAAATAATAATAAAAAAAGTCTGCAAACAAAATAGAATGCTATGGGCACCTCTACCCATCCCCCAGAGCCATGGTGAATACCAACACAGAAAGGCTAGAGGGAGAAGCAAGGGAATGGTTAGCCCTCCACAAGAGGAGAGCCTCCCAACTGCAAGACATAGATGTCTTCCTGCAACTGCTAGAGGTCAGATTTGAGGAGGCGGAGAAGGACTCATATGCAGAACAGGAACTCAGCAACCTAAAGCAGAGGGGCCGCCCCATCAAAGAGCACATCCGTGAATTTAGGAGGGTCATTCGAAGGCTACCCCCTTTACCAGAATGGCTGCTGGTGCATTTTTTCAGAACAAGCCTGGAGAAGCAAATTGCCCAGGTAACCGCATACCATGACATCCCAAATCAACTCGCTGAGTGGTTCCGAATAGCAAAAAAAGTCAACAGCGGGCTACGCACCAAAAACATGAGAAAGCAACACGAAAGAGAGAGGTCAACCTGACCTGAAACCGCCCAACCAATGGGGAACCACAGCACCACAGCGGGCCCCGAGACCAGCCCTGTCTCGACATCCACTGAGATGTTACAGATGCAGGGGATGGGCCATATAGCATCTGTGTGCTCAACCCCAGCCCTAAAACCAAGGCCAGACCCACCACCCAGGGCACGACCAGAACAAGGCCCCAAACGGGCCACCAACATATCCCGGAAAGCCCTCTAGGTTGCAGAAGCCTCTTCTCCCTCAGGCAAAAGGGGTGGAACCCCAGGCAACGATGACTAGTCACCCAAAACCTATGACAGTGAGGACGAGGGAGAAAACGACCCAATGGTGAGTGAACCAATTCACCCTTTCCTTTTTCCAATACGCCTCAAAGCCCCAAAAACAGGAAACCAGGGGATTTCCCAGCCTAATAGACTCAGGCTGCACGAGGTGCTTGATCAACCTAACCACAGTCATTCTGGAATCGTGGGCCCATTGAAGAACGACAGGTTCCAGGTTAGCAGGAACATAAAGTTTAGCCCCCACCCAAGCCAGTCCATCCTTCATGGTGCATCAGAACATTGCTTGAACCAGTCATTGGATTCAAGACCCTCCTTGAGTTTGTTCATTAGGTCCGTATTCTCATCCAAGTCAGCTGGGTTCTGGCTTCTAGTAACCATTGGAGCAGCCAGATTCTTAGCTGGGATGACTGGATGAACCACACTCAGTTTGGAGCTGTTGTACTGGGGAAGCCTGGACAAGGCATCAGCTATAAAGTCCCGTCCCGTCCCTCCCCGGATGTATTTCAGGGTAAAGTTGAAACAGTTGAAGTGTTGTGCCCAATGCACTTGTTTAGGTGACAGTTTACGCAGGGTTTTGAAGGCTTCTAAATTTTTATGATCAGTTCATACTTCAAAAGGGTGTTTCGCCCCCTCTAGGAAGTGTCGCCAGGTCATCAAAGCCCATCTTACAGGAAAAGCTTCCTTTTCCCATATGGGCCATCTCCTCTCTGTCTCTGTAAGCTTACGTGATGTGTAAGCGCATGGTTGCAATTTACCCTCAGCGTTTGTTTGAAGTAATACTGCTCTTACCTCCACGTCACTGGCATCAGCCTGTACCACGAATGGCACATCCATATCAGGGTGTTTCAAAACCGGTTCTGCTGCAAAGAGTCATTTTAATTTCTCGAAAGCGACTTGACACTCCATAGTCCAGTTCAGAGGCTTCCCCAGCTTTGGTTTTGTTTCGCCTTTAAGATTTTAGAAGATTCGTAATGGGCAGAGCGATGCTAGCGAACGAGGGAATAATTGACGATAAAAATTTGCAACGGCCTGCTTGCCAGAGGGCTCAAAGGCTACAGAGTTCGAAGTAAACCTTTGCTCACAGACGCTCACTGCTCTCATTGACATGCGTGGGCCAAGAAGTATGCCAAGTGGACCAACGAACAGTGGGCCAAGGTCATCTTCAGCGACGAGAGCAATTTCTACTCTACTGGGAATCAGTGCAATAAGTATATCAGAAAATTTCCGGCTGAAGAATTTAGGCCGTACTGCCTGAATCTATCTGTAAAGCATCCATTGCAGGTGATGATCTGGGGCTGTATTGCTGCTTCTGGTATTGGTCAGATACAAATCATGCAGGGAATCATGAATTCCAAGCAGTATGTTGAAGTCCTGGAAAAGATCATGCTTCAGCTCAACAACTTGTAGGGAAGGACTTTTACTTCCAGGATGATAACGCTCCTTGTCATCGAGCCTAGTCCGTCCAGCAGTGGATGAAGAAGCATGGTGTTCGACTCCTGGATTGGTCAGCTCAGAGCCTGGATTTGAACCCAATTGAGAACTTGTGGGCCAAGATTAATTACAAAATAAGCAAGAAGCATCCGAAGACCAAGCATGAGCTGATTGAATTCATTATTGCAGCCTGGCACCACATTGTCACCAAAGATCACATGCAAAGGCTTATACAGTCTATGCTGAAGCGATGCCACCTGATGATAAGCAATAAGGGCTGGCCAATTTCATATTAGTAACCATGTTTGGTTATCTAAAAAGTCCTTTTCAGGGCCACAAACAATAAAAATGTTAACAAAACACTAGCATTGGCCTTAGTCATTGCAACACATATGCCACTGGGTATGCATCAGTTAATCTGTTTTCATAGTCATTGTAAGCATGAAAGAAAATTCACAGCGCCCAACCAAACAGCACCAAAAAGCTTATGCTTTTCACTTAAAAACCACCAATATTTATTTAAATATAACAATATTTGCATAGCAGTTAGAATAAAATATCATAAAAGCAATTGGCCTATCCAAAAAATGTCATAAAACATAAACTGTGAAGCATGCAGGACCTTTCACACAGCTGTATATACTGTATAGAAAACAAATGTCCTAAAGGAAAGTATATTGATTTTTAATGAAAAAAGGTAATTCAGTGGTTACAGAGTACCAAATATCTGTTGGATAGAAAAAATGGGTTAACTTTATTGAACAGGAACCATATCCATTGCACAGGTCATTTACAGTTAAATATTCACTAGCATTAGTTGTCAAATAAGGAAATAACATACAAAATAAAACTTCACTTAGCTCACTGGTGTTTTATTTTCTTGAAAACATTCAATCTAATATATTCCTGTGCCAGACGATTAATCGTTTATGCAGAAAAAAAAAATTTTTTCCTAGGAAATTAATACAAGCCAGGAAAACTGGATATAATATAAGAGCATAAGTAAACCTTTCATATGCATACCTTAGTAAGTGGAGAGAAGTTTACTCTGAGCTCATAATAGTTGACAGAGTGAAACTAGATCTACACATTTCTTATTCTTCTAAATTGATGTTGCTTGCTTGATTTTCAAATGTTGGTGATCATATTCAAGGGGCTCTTGTTGCTTTAATAATACCAAAGCATTGGTAGACTGAAAAATCAAAATGTACAGTAGCTACGCTGAAGACTGGGGATATTGGATAGAAGAGTTGTAAATATCTCTGATCACAGATGAGGACAGCAGGAACATGCATCCTAATGAATTCAGTATGAGTCCTCCATTTATTCATCTATACATTAACTATACATCTTCCTTAAGTATAGTTAGTAGTAAAAAAACTCAAAGCTACATATCAAAAGTAGATTGTTTTTGTTTATTAGATAAGAAAATAAAACTTACCAAAATATTTTTCTCTTTCTTCTCTTCTTTCTCTGGCTTGTCTTTGCCTTTCATCTGTCTTCAGAAATCCATCCACAGCTAACAGCGCAAAAAATGGAAAAAAAGGGAAAATCAGCTATAGCAAAGTAATTTATTTTTTTGTCTTGACAATTTTATTATAATTTTACTTCAATTTACATATTGTAAGATTTATTGATCAATATTAATAAATGAGGGGTCCTTACCTGCACGGATGTTACCTAATTAGGGCACTGAAAGGTCTGTAATAAAATGACAATTGGCTTACCTGAAGGGTCCTTCTCTGTGCGCTGTGGGAGTCCAAGCATGGGTTAAATTAGTCTGGTTGCCCAAGGACCGAGGTAATCATTTTCTTTAACCATGCCTCCTGATCCTTCTTAAATGCCAGATTTTTGACAAGCTCTGGAACCGAAGGAGGATGGTGATATGATCAAAAACCGGACTCGATCGGATGCCCCCGAAACCCTGGACCCGAAGACCCTGGGCGGGATTGGACTCTCCCACAGCGCACAGAGAAGGACCTTTCAGGTAAGCCAATGGTCATTCTCCTGTGCTCTGCTTGGAGAGTCCAAGCATGGGACATACCCAAGTTAACTGTCACTAGGGTGGGAAGAAGGTCTGTCCAGGGAGTTGGTCGTGGAAATAACCCCCTGCAGGACTCTTCTGCCAAATGATGACTCGGCTGAGGCAAACATGTCCAATTTATAATTTCTGACAAATGGCGATGAAGATGACCACATTGCCGCTCTGCAGATTTCATCTATTGTTGCTTGGGTTGTCCAGGCAGCGGTGGTGGCTGTGCTCTTCATAGAGTGAGCGGTGATATGGCAAGGAACTGGTTTGGACTGGTGCTCATATGCCACCACAATGCATGCCCTCAGCCATCTGCCGATAGTTGAGGATATTACCTTTGGTCCCATGGATCCTGGCTGGAACGATATGAAAAGGGCCTCAGACCTGTGGAATTCTGCTGTTAGTTTAATGTATCTACGTAGGACCCGTCTGACATCCAGAGTATGCCAGACCAGTTCCCTTGGGTGTCTGGGGCACAGGCAAAAGTTTGGTAAAATTACCTCATGCACCCTTTGAATTTTTGGGATGAAGGCCAGGTCCAGGCAAAGCACAACTCTGTCCCGATGTATAATCCATAAGTCTTCCTGGACCCACAGAGTGGCCAGTTTCAATATTCTCCTTGCCGATGTTATAGCAATGAGAAAAACCGCCTTAAGCGTGAGGTGTTGGGAGAGAAGCTGCGCGGAGAGGCTCAAAGGGAGCTGAAGTTAGAGCTTATAGAACAACCGATAACTGCTAGGTCAGGTACCAGTGGACCGGAGGATGCAGGTTGGAGGCACACTTGAGGGAACACCGGACTTTCGGTAGTCTGCTGAGGGACTGAGCCGAATCTCCAGACCAAACAGTGGATAGTGCAGCAACCTAACGATGGAGGGTGTTGGGCTCTAACTGTTGGGAATATATTCCTAATGGTGGGTAGGCAAAATATATCTTTATACAACAACAAATGGTCGTTGTTGCTTTAAATGAGTGGATGTACTTATCAGGTGTAATTAACTTTACTATAAGGAGTCAAGGGAGCTCACTCTCTCTCTCTCTCTACTTGTCCTATGCTTGATGACTTGATGACTGGAATGTGAACTGCGACTGTAAGCTACTGTTTGTTCTTTGAATTGTGTTTGGACTAATATCTACTGTCTACTATCACTGCTTGTGAAGCAATTATCGGTAGTAAAGCTACTTGTTTTTACTAGCAGTGTGTGCAACTCTATTCGTGTGTTTCTACTAGCAACATTTTTCTCTCCAGCTGCACATTCCGCTGCACTACTTTCTGTCTCCCAACGGAGATACCCCTAACACTGGTTATGGGCCCAGTGTACCCAGTGTACCCAGTGTACCCAGTGTATCCAGAGTGCCAGCTGCAGCGTTAAGAGAGTGGAGTTGCTACACACGCTATAGTTTTGCAAACCTTTGCAGCCTTCCATCCTTCGGTACATTGAGGACCCAGAATGTTGGGGAAAATATGCTGCCTCTGTAAATTGCTTAGAGAAGGGCGTACAGCACTATGAAGTGGTAAATAAGTCTTAAGTGCTATGCTGTCATCTAAAACAGGGATGTCAAATT